GATATATAGCGATATTTAGTATTACCGCTAGTAAACGAATTCGCTATATATCGATTACTATCACGATCATGTGTAATCGGCAGGGGTGATTGGTATCGATATATAATTACCCGGCTAGTAATTGATATATATCGGTCTATTTTTTTTGCTGATGATATTTATTTCATTCTTTTCTATTTATTTTTTTACCCGAAATAGGAGTTATTTTCATAAATACGGAAAATCTACCAGTTTCATCTACTTTGACAGGAAGAGAAATACATATTGTATTGTCAAAGAAATAATCATTATATTTATTATATTTAGCAAGTTCACTGGCTTTATAATTAGTGTCATATATTGCTTTTTGTTTTTTTGAATTATTTTTACTAGGGCGTCTAGGTGGCATTATGAATATTTGACAAGATGAAAGTGTTTATATTGAGGAAAAGTTGGCTTTAACAAGATAAAAATGTTCACATCTAGAAAAATTGGTATCATTTATATAGAACTTTTTTTCAAGACAATTTAATTATATACAGTATATTAATTGTTCAAAATTCTTATTTTTTCTTTGTTGTAGATATTAGATAAAGACAAAAAATAGTTTAGCAAGTTTAACTAAACAAAAGGAATTCGATGAATTATTTAAACAAAAGGAATTCACCGAATTAATTGAGACAAAGAGAATTTGATGAGTTTATCTAAACAAAGGAAGTTTGATATTTTTATTAAAATACTTATTTTTTAAATATAGAGAGATTTGCTAACAATATTAATTATCATTTTGAATTAATGTTAGATGGTTATTATTTAGGTGCTGCCAAAGAAGAACCTGTAATTCTTATTAGATAAAGAATTATAGTACTTATTTGAATTTGACTAGTATTGTATTCTTAGTGGGTTTATCTTGTTGGTGCAAATATGGGAAATATGAAATATTCTGATTTGGTTTATTTAGTAAAGCTGTAGAATTTTTGAAAATTATTGTTCAATATTTTAACTATTTAGAGAGCCATTAATGTATTGTGACAAGATTTTTGTGCTACATATTTATTAAAAGTATTATTGCATACTTTTCAGATTTGTACAATTATCTACACATTGAGATATAAATATAGGAAATATTATAATGTAAAAAAATTTAAACTTGAAATTGCTTATAAAGGATTTTTTGAATTACTATATATGCAATATTCTTAATAAACAATATTCGCAAGTACAAGGGGCAATATAAAATTTTTAATAATCGTTTTTGTCTTTCTTCTAAAAATATAATTATTTATTTGATTGAATTCTTATATCAATCATTTTATAATACAAAATCGCAAAATTCAAAAGATATTATTAAATTTAAGATTTATCAGATTCAATTAATTACCTTTTTTTGGTATAATATACTTGAATTCAAAACAACTTTTAAACTATAAAAAATTTTATTGTTAAATATAAAAAGACGACTTGCACCTTCTTTCAATAATAAAATTATGCGTAAATAGATAATCAATTTTATTAAATATAAGACATATTAGTTATATTACAGTATATCTAAAACTTGTATGAAAAGTGCGTCAAAGCAAACAATAATTTTCTATCTATATTCGTTTACATTATTTTCACTTTAACAAAGAAAATATATCTTAAATGCACATACTTGTAATTATTGATCTTGCAATTGTATTTCTCGATCCGATGTTTATAATTCTACAAAATGTTTAAAAAAAATGTAAATTTACTGTAGTAAAAATTACTTGGCTTATTTAGTAATATACTAAAAAAAAAAGCTATTTTCTAATAATTTGTAACCTAATATTAATAATACCTTATACTGATAATTGTCTAGAATCTACCACACACCTCTTGAATGAACTATATATTTAAACATTTTAAGAGTTAGACATGCATAATTATCTTACTTATATTATAAGCATATAATTTTTTTAAAATCCATCATCTCTTAAATATCGTGTTTTCTATCAGCATTATTTTAACATATACCCCAATGGATAGACTAAACCCACGAAATAAGCAACTTAAAAGTAGCAGAAACTTGCGAAATTGTGAACAGCGAAAAGCATTGCTTGATGATCTAAATTTGATATTTGCACGATTAGATGATAACGATTTTAATTATATAATAAAAAAAATCTTAGAATCTCAAAAAATTTTCAGCCATATTCAAAGAAAACGAAATGATTTGTTAATAAATATTTGTAATTTACCTAATCAACAAATATTTGACGTGTTTTCTCTTTTTCAAACAATGGTCTATACTTGAGGAGATCATCAAGGAGAGTTAATTTCCACCTATTTGCAAAAAAAAGCTCAAGATTTTATTAATGATAGTCTTTATAGATTAGATAATAACAACAATACATTAAAATTACAAAACAAAAATTTACAACAAGAAAATAAACACTTAACAAAATATAAAGCTATCGCAGGTACCAAAATTCGGTTACTTTCTATACGATTGGCAAGAGCAAAGCAAAACAAACAAAGGCAAATTTCAAAAATTCATGCAGCTATTTGTAGAACAAACCAAATTCAACCTGCTCAGTTTCAACGCGTAGCCAGTAAACTATTTAAAATTAATAATAAAGAGTATAGTACAAAATTTGTTAAATTAGCTACTGATATCAGTAATATGGGGCAAACCTCTATACGTGCAACAGTAGAATGCACTAAAGCCTTCTATTAATTTTTAACTGGGAAAATACCACAACGATAGGTAACACCAAGCACTTTGGCATGATAGAACAATGAAGTAGCAGCATTGTCTTGTAATCAAAATTGCCCTACAAATACTTGTTTCAGATTTTTTGACTATGGCATAATGGTTGATGAGAGCACTAGAGGAGAAATGAAAGTACTAATTATCTGTTTTTCAGAAAGGCTAGCAATTACTGTAGTAAAATTAATAGACCTAACGCACTGTAATGCTGAAACCATTTCGACTACAGTATTTGAAACATATTAACAAAAAGGTATTGATCCTCAGAAGTGCCATTTCTGGCTAACTAATAACACGGCCTATATGTCCTCAGAATTTAATAGTGCAGTTGCCAAATTTAATTTATTAGGAGTATCTAAATCATTTCGGATTCCTTGTAGGTTGCACATGACTCATATTGCTCTAACAAATTTTGAAAATAAAGCGTTTGGAAAGTTAGATACTATTAAAGAGTTATCATTAAAAGAGCACCCATATAATCTACTTAACCTCGCTTTTTACCTTCACAATAGATATAATTGTTCAAATAAGGATAGTCCTCTGAATCTAAAATCTGAAACCTTTCAAAAGCTCTATAAAATATTATTTGATTTTGAAATTATTAAGTATCAACAACCTATTCATCAACGGTGATTATATGAACTTAAAACTGCCAAACAATACCTTACTAGACACGAAGTTCATATTTCCTTTGCACGGTTCTTTGTTGAGCAACTTGAAAGTGCTAAAAACGTGCCAAAATCATACTTACACAAGTGGCAAATATTTCTTAAGTGGTTAACAGATAAACGACTTAACTTCCAAATTCGATGTTTAACTAAGTTTGGTAAAAGATTCTATAAACCTATCTATAATTTTATGATCGGTCATGACCCAACATCACATATTCATCGACAAGATAATATAAATACTGTTTTATTATCAGGAAATCGTGCTCATGAAATGCCGAATAAGGTAATTTTATGTAAATAATATTTATATATTATTTGGAGATGAATTAGCTGATGCTGAGCGTGAGTTTGATATAACAAATTTGGACAATTTTCGTGAATTATTATGCATTGGAATTGAAAATGCGTTAAATGGATTCATTAAATAAATGGAATGTTGGACTCACTTGCCTTTATACGTTTGTCAATTAGGTGGTAAAAATGGCCCAGAATTTGCTTGTGCTTTTTTGAAGGTTTTTTTAAATAAAAACTCCTTAAAAATTCCTACTACAAAAGAAATTACTTACACAAACCTTTTACAAGAAGATTTGTCTAAAGGACATCTAGCCACCTTTGGATTACAAGAAGCATTAACACAGCATGATTTCTTTGAAGAATTCGAAGCATTTGCGAATTCTGAAGTAGCAGAGCCTGCTAAATTTTCTCTCATTTATGAATTCATTAAATTTCGCATTTGAAGTATCGTGGTATACCAACAGCAATTAGAAGGACTATTTAATCGATATAATATAAAAGTTCACTCAAATATAGATATCAAACTGCAAGAATCACGCATTCAACTCTCTGGTTTGGATGGTGGTATTCAAGAAATTTTGCAAGATATGTTGCGAAATGCTCGGCAAAGTGCTAGAAATTTGAGAGTTAATGAATGATTAGAAAGTAGTGAGGTTTCTAAAGAAGAAAAAGTGTATGAAATTCTTAGTGACTTTCTTACTTGGAGACATAAAAATTAATTTAAATACATGCAATTTTTTTTCAAATTAGATATACTGTACAATTCTATATTTATAATAGTAATATATTAAAATTTTTTAAATTAAACACTTAACTTTCAAGTCCAAATAATTCATTATGTAATATTTCTAAAATTATTACTGACGCATATTCATCGTTACTGTTTTGCAGCGATCTAAATAATTTATTTGCTTATTAAAATTTGTTAGATATTGAAGTTTTTGTATCGATCTAAATCGTTATCTTTTTGTATGACATAAAATCTATCATATGACTAAATCTTACCCATGTCTATGAAGTTCACACCCATGAAAAAAAATTATTTTGTTAGCAAAACAAAAATTTTAATGTTGTTACGATGTAAAGAAACTTTTTATTGAATACTTTCCTTCTATGGAATTAAATAGTAATAAATATTAAGCAAGGAATTAAGAGATATTTTTTATAATATTCAAATAGTAAATTTCGATCAAAAAATTTTTTATTATAAAAAATCTCGATTAGTGATCATCACTATATAATCTGCACTATGTTTGTAATTATACCAATATTGTACACCCTAGTAAAACGTATCTATTAGTAACTTGTCGCACTATCTTGTATACAAGTTGGATAGACCTTGTCAGCCCATCGAGAACTAATCCCTTCAATTCTTCTTTCTTTACCAAGAGCAAAAGAAAGTAGTGATTTTATAATACACAAACCACCAATTAACGAAAATAAAATGAAACTAAATTTAAAAAAAAAAAACAAATAAATGAAAAAGGAATTTTAAAAGAAAACAAAAAGAGGAATAAGGAATGCAAAAAAAGAAAAACAAAGAGAAAAGCCTCGAGGGCTAACAAGGGAGGAACTACCTCTTAAGAAGTGTGAAGAACAACCCGAAGGTTGTAACAACAAAAAAGAGAAAGATACACTATTATAATTCATGCCAGGTAAAGTAAAAAATTTTATAACAAATACAACGATTGTATATCTTGAAAACAAAACAAAAACTCTATGAGTATACTGTCTGACTATCGACCAAATTTGGAAACCTTTTTAACCGGAAACTCCGATTCAAGTCACGTAGAGTAGCACTGTATCAACAAGTAAACAAGACACGTAGCTGCATTTTACTAAGTTCGTCTGAATTGGGATATAAACAATGCTGATCTTTTGGAGGGGGTAAGCCAAATCCCCACTTTTTGCAACAAAAATTTGGAAGACCGACAGGAAAGCGAAGAAAAGTATTAAAGAAGCTACTTGAGACAGAAAAGAAGTGTGGCTTTCAAAAGATATAAAATTTGCTGTTTTCCCTGTGTTCTCCATCGAAGTAACGACTTAACAGCTTCGTTGATGACGTCAGTCCGTTTCTGAAAAGCCCGCCACCAAGATTTTTTATACAAAAGCACTCCCTGTCAGTTATCTTGTATAATAACACTCCTGGCTTGCATGCCAAATGTCCTTTTAGAGGAGTCCCCCAAGTTAGTAAGTTGACCTCTAGACAAACCACCGGTAGGCCACGACTCTCTAACAAATTTTTCTGTTTTTCCGTTAGTTAGATTTCTGGTCCAAGTGATTATCGGGAGAATATAAAGAAATATTAAAAACATTTAGAAATATTAAGAAACATTATAAAAAAATATTATAAGTATAGATTTACAAGTATTGTAAATCCATTTCGGTTTATTGTTTATTGCTTTTTGGCTTATCTTTGTTTATCAATTGCCAGTTATCTGTTAGTCCGTTTATCATGAATTATAGCTTGTTTTGATCATTATGGTCTTCTGGATCTTTTGAGAATATAATATTTAATATGTTCTTAGGCGTTCTATAACAATAGTACTAATTTTTAGCCTTTATACTGTATATAGGGAGGAGTCAATAAAAAAGTGACAAATCATTTTTAGTAAAATTTTTTAATTTTTAAATTAAAATATCTCAACAACTAATTAATCAAATTTGCTAAAA